AAGGAAATTTTCAAGTCATCCAAATAATAATATTAATCATAACACTGATAATAACAGTAATAAAAATCTTAAAAGTAATAATAAATTTATTAATAATTTTTATAATATTAGTAGAATAAAAAAATCAATATTAATAAGTTATTTTCAAATAACAATAACATTATTATTACAAAAAAAGGAAAGAAAATTTTTCTTAAGAACAATGATCTTGCTAATTGGCTAGAAGAATCAAGAAACTCAAAGAAACCTTCTAAATAATATGTTTTGGAAATTTGGTGAATATAATAAAAACAATTTTATGCTATTTCAAGTTTTTTTTTTTTTTATTATATATTAAAATTACTATTGTTGAATATGCAAGATTATATAAATGGTAAATATTATTGTTTTTCTGTATCTGATAAACTAACCTTGAATGGATCTATGTAATACAAAGATGGATTATTATTATTCCGTAAAATTTGTGGCGTTTTGCCATCTCTTCACTTCAAAAGTTGTCCGTCTAATTCTTCATTTCATTTTGAAACAATGTCTCAAAAGAAACAAAATAACTGAATATATATATAGGCATATAATGAAAAACCTACTTATTCGTGTAAATACTACATAATCCAATTTCTCTTTTTAAATCGTTCGTTTTATCTTTTTCGTCTGATTATGACCCCGAATATGCTTTGGCGCAACTAAGTGAACTATACATGTGGGCGAAACCTAGTGACACTTAATCATCGAGTGGTGGCAGCTAATCAGTTATACAGATTGCAATTTTATTGTACTATCATATGATAATCATTTGAGGATTAAGTGTCACTGGGTTTCTTCCTGCCAAGCCAAATAGCAAAAAAAATGTACATGTTACGTTTGGAGTAAATTTTCAATCTGTACAAAGAGGTTCTAGTTAGTATAATCAGGGATCTTGTCTGATTTCATTTTCGTAGTACAAAATGAAGAAAACTCGGGTGTAATATATATATGTGGGCATATTGCAACAAAGTGAACATTGTGCCACACAGAATTACAGTGATCAAAATTCAGTAAATTAATCTACCAGTATGACATCACTAGTAATAATGTATATATTTTGAAACTTATAAATGCAAAATCACAAAGAAATTGAATATATTTCTTATGAATAATATAAATGATAGCATAATAGTTGTGGGAATTAATTTACTAATTGAAAAATTTGCTATTGAAGAAACAGGGAAAAACCAAGATAAATTAACAACTTATTTTTGAGAATGATTTTCCTAATGAGAGAACTATAATATTGCTAACACTCAGCAAGAACTAAAACAATTATAAAATCTAAACCAATATATAATAACACCAATTATCATGAAAGTTTAAAAAAACTACAAGAAAGCCAGATTAAATATGAAGCAGAATAGTTAAAAAGTCACCAAGAAAGGCATTGGGAAAGATCTATAATCTTAATCAACTTTGAGAAAAGGTTAAAGAGAAAGGATGGTTAGAATACTAACCAGTTTGGATTAAGCAATATTTGACAAGAAACCATTTTATCAACAAAATAACTGGCCAGTTGAAATAAGTGTGATGATTGAATAAATGGTGACTGCTTGCTTACACTGCTTTTTCACAACAAAGAATTTATAAAGATTTAATTGAGAAAAAAGAGTTCATTTAGAAAATATTGCCAAATTTCAAAGATATACAAAAGATTTAGTGAAAGAAAAAGAAAGATATTTAGCCAACACTCAAGAAGCTTTAGATACTGAAATGGTTGGTGTGGTGGCAATCATCTAAAGACATCACAAAATTTGCCAATCTTTAAATGCTGGCACATTGCTAAGTATGGGCTATTTTACCATAAACTCTCTAGCGGTGTATAAAATTCAATGTGTGGGATGTGCGGGTGGATGTAACGTTACACGTAGCAATTTTTTGCAGGTAATTTCTAAATTTGTAGAAATCTGTTTTAGCTACACCCGAAATTTATACACTACTTTCTAGTTTTGCAATCTTCTAGGCATAAAAAATAACACAATAGAAAGTTTTATAATGGTTTAAAGTTGGATAACTTTGCCATTATTTGAAATTTTGACAACCATCTAAATCACAATTTACCGATTATTTCTGATTATTCACGTGACCAATTAGCGGATCTTTTACAGATGTGGATTTATTTTATATTAAGTTCTTTATAAAGCAAGATCGGCATTAAAATTTTTGGTGGGCTATGCAACACATGATGACTTTAGATGATTCACACTGTATACAAAAATTAAAGGAAAAGAAATGGCTGAAACAAAGAAAATGGGAATTATATTTGGCTGCTAAACTTTTATCAAGTTTACTAAAAAGGAAAATTAATTTGTCAAGTCAGGGAATGAAATTAGAACCCAATTTCAGCAGGTCCCAAAAGATGGCATCCCTTTTCTACAATCATTTATACAGGTAATTTTAAAATAGTGGTGCTACTTTTCGGGACTGTATGATAATCAAAGCAAAAGAATGCCAAACAAAACCAATTAATAACTCTCTTTTGAGCACTTTATTTTTAACTTCTTTAATCTTTAAAAAATAATTAATGTGAAACTAATTTATATAAAATATACCATGAAACCCAAGAATTATAGTACAATCAAAAGTATTTTGAAGAAAGAACAGGGTGAAAAATTTACACCTTACATTTTTAAATTAGCAGACATTAATCTATGCAAGCATATTTAAATAAAGAAAGTATTACCTATGAAATTTATCAAGAAGAAAGAAATATCATAATTGGTAAAAGAACTTTAACACAGGACCATGAATAAGGTTGTGAATGAAACCTCCTTAGTAATTGCTGAAACCACAGCAAAACTATATTAAATCTTATCAAAAATCCTGTTGAAACTTTGCCAAAATGGCAAAACCTCAAAATGTGAAACTCTGCCGAAACTCTAATAAACAATTAATGTGTAACCTGCCAAAACCCTGCTGAATGATTGAGGAGTTTCGACAAGCAACCTTAACCATGAAGAACTTGGGAAAAAAACAAAAAGTAAAAAAGAAATAATTCCAGCAAACTTGGGTTAATTCCTCCAGAAATCATTCAGCAGAGTTTCAGCAGGTTACACACTGATTGTTTGTTAGAGTTTTACATTTGGGGGTTTTGATAATTGGCAGAGTTTTGGCAGGTTACACACTAATTGTTTATTAGAGTTTTGCCAGAGTTTCAGCAGTCATCAAGAGGTTTTGGCAAGCAACCTTAGTTAATTGTCAACATTTGGGAAAGTAATGCATTTAAATTTATCCTTTACAAATGGGTGAATATTATAAAAGTGTTCTCACCAAGGAGGCATTAACACTAAGGTTTCTGGTCCAAACTATTTTTGAAAAAAAGTAATTTGGACTCATCAATATTTTTTTATAAGAATGAACATAAAAAATCTACATAAATCAACCAATTTTAGTTTAAATAATTTAAAAGTAATTTTGCAAATTTCAATGATTAATAAAAAATAGTTTGAACTTATAAAAAATTAATTTTTCCCCAAAGTATTTGACAATTTGGCTATTGAAAGAGGTGGTTTTAACCAGAAGTCTTTGTTAACACTAAAATAAATAAAGCTTTGATTTCTTTTATGGCATATCTAGAGGTTGGAATCAACTAAAGTAGTTGACTAATTTAATTGATTACATCTGGAAAATATAAAAAAAATTTGCACATGTCAATTGTAAGTTTAATAATAAAAAAGTGTAAAACTTATGTCGGCACTGTAAGATTATGTGATACATCGGTGTTATAAGATTTATACAAGTTTATGCTAAATTAATTTCCTGATTTAATTAGTTGACTAAACTTTTTTTGAACAACTAATAGTCAACTAATTAGTCAACTACTAATATTACTAATACTAACACTAATACTATGCTAATATTATTATTGTCTGACCAATTGCAGAAGAGTATCAATATGCAAATATTAAAACTTTACATATTAAAATTTATGGATGTAATATTATGGCAAGGAAAATTTCTTGATGTACAAGGTCCAATAGTTCATTGACTTCAAGTTCCAATGATTTGTGTGGTGGTTCCAGAAGACCTTTAAAAAAATGAATCGTAACACATGGTTTTGTGTGGAAGCATTTTGAAAAAGTGAAAGATTCAAATGGAAATGAATTTGTAATTTGCAAATTAAAAAAAAAAACAAAATATTATTATTATTTTAAAAAAATTTTAGTTGACTAATTAGTCAACTAAAATAATCAATTAAATAATCAACTAAAATAGTCAACTAAAATAATCAACTAAAATAATCAACTAAATCGTCAACTAATTAGTTGACTAAAGAAATTTTGACTAACTAGTAGTTGAATAAGGATTTTTTGGATGATTCCAACCTCTAGGCATAACTGCTTTCCTAGTTTTCAATAAATTGAACTTGGCAAAAGACCCATCAGCAACCTCCTGAGTTTTGATGACACCAGGGTTAGATGCTTCAAAAAGAAAATGTTGCCATTTTTGCAGACTAAGGATGGTTGACATAATTGCTAAATTTAGGGGTCTGGGACACTTTACCAACACCCACTTTACTGGGACACTTTACTGACAGGACACTTTACTGACAGGACACTTTACCAACAGGACACTTTACTGACAATCTAAGTAAAGTCGAATTTGACATAGAAATGGTCTTGCGAGGAACACCATGGCCCCACAGAAACCACAAGATTGTAATCATGAAATACGGATTCAAACAGTATTAAAGGACCATAACATTAGATCAACAATAAAGTTTCTTTGGGGCATTGCCCATAATATTTCATTTTAAATTTTTTTTAATTTTTTTAAAAATTTTTTTTGTTTTGTGTATGGTTGGCTCGGTCTAAAGACCTCCTATTTCTGCGCCACGTGGCCAAATTTCAAAAATAGCAATTTTGTAATT